TCTTTTTAACTGTTGATTACCCTGAATGTATAATTCAACTGAAAAACCAATACAAAAATAAATGATACATTTATATTTACATTTAAATAAATAATATCAAAAATAATAAATACCAATAAACAAGATCAACAAATATTTTGGAGAGCACTTCAACAAGCTACTAAAAATATGTTAATATGATAAATACAAATAAATTAGACTAAAATAAATTAGATCAAATATGTTGCAGTGCAGTGTCACAACCAAGCAAAGCAAAATAATCGTTTTTTTCGATTATGTTGTTTTCGTAATTGTGGCAGGCCAAAATNCACACACACACACACACACACACACACACACACACACACACACACACACACACACACACACACACACACACACACACACATTATCGTGATGATAGTGTTGCAGTATAAACATATGCAGGTGCTGTGACAGATGTTTTTGCTATGTCCAGTTTTCATGTTTTCTGACTGTAAACGTTCACAGGGCTTCTGTTTTGGGAAATCTGGAGAGCTCCTGACTCTTAAACTGAGACTCGGGGCCTTCAAAGCCATGATGAGACAGGTGAGTGTAAACAACAGAAATCTGAGACCTGCACAAAGACCTGTGCTTAATTATTAATAAAACAGAGTCTCACCTCTTTCTCTCCTCCCCTGTGCTATATCTCTTTCTGGGCTGAGCTTCATCACAAATTCAATTATTAATAAACAATAACCAAGTCAGGAAGTATAAAGCTACATCGTTTTAATTCAATAATAGAACCAGAATAAGTTGTTTTTAGGAAAGGACAGACTCAAACATTTAGCTTTCTTAACTTTATGTATCTTGGCTTTGACTGTCTCCTCCATGATTTCCTGCTTGTGTTTTTATCATGTTCTGTTGCCTATTAGCGTTTTCTTTTTTTAACAAATTGTACGGTGTCCTTGGGTGTCATGAAAGGCGCCTAAAAATAAAATGTATTATTATTATTATTATCTTTTATTTATACAGGGGAAAAACTATGAATTATGATTTCCTTTGATTGTTTTTGAATATATATTTGTTTCACTTAAAAATGTTGTTTTCTTAAAAATGATATATCCTAGCTTTGATGGGATAAAAACGTTTTATTTACAAAATGTATGCTAAACTGATTCCAGTATGCTTCAGTGTTTTAAGAATATTATGATGATTATGCGAAAAAATATTGTCACCAGCACAATCGTGATACTTCCATATTATCCCAGGCCAAATTAAAACAATGTGGCACGTAAGACATTTCTGACTGCTGTTGTTTATTTAACGTTTTTAAATTACAAGTTAATGTATAGTATTTATTTTTAATACACATTTGTTTAAAGGACCTTGGCTGGTTTGACAACCCCAAAAACAGTGTTGGAGCGCTCACTACGAGACTGGCCACCGACGCAGCCCAAGTGCAAGGGGTAAGTCTCAACAGCAAACACACACTCACACTCACAAAGACTACAGCAATGAATCGTCCCAGAAAATCAGGGGTCTTGTGGTCTGCTTTGTTCCCACCTGCTCAGGCTACAGGAGTGCGTATGGCCACGCTGGCCCAGAATCTCGCCAACATGGGCACCAGCATTATCATCTCCTTTGTGTACGGCTGGGAGCTGACTCTGCTCGTCCTGTCGGTGGTGCCCTTCATGGCGGTGGCCGGCGCTGTGGAGATGAAGGCGCTCACTGGACACGCTGCTGAAGACAAGAAGGAGCTGGAGAAGGCTGGAAAGGTAGAGATTCAGTGTGTCACAGTTCCAAGTTGTAATGACTGAGCACATTGTGTTAAATCACTAGCCTTTTGATATTCTTTAGAGTACATAACATGTTTTTATGATTTGTCTCTACAGATAGCTACAGAGGCCATTGAGAATATCCGTACTGTTGTCTCCCTTAACAGAGAACCAAAGTTTGAGTCTTTGTATCAGGAAAACTTAGAAATACCATTCAGGTGTGTTACATTATTTAAACCAAATATCCAACATGCCCACTGGATATATGAACACAATTCAATGTTTAATGATCAAATTGGATACATTAAAAGAGTAATCTCTCTGATTCACTGCGCAGGAACTCCCAGAAAAATGCCCACGTGCACGGTCTCACCTTCTCCTTCAGCCAGGCCATGATCTACTTCGCCTACGCGGGCTGTTTCCGCTTTGGAGCTTGGCTTGTTGAGGAGAACAGAATGGATATTCAGGGAGTATTCCTGTGAGTAAACTGACCGAGTGACCTTTTCTTGTCTCTTAATCAGTAGATAAAGTTTAGTTGTTTTATATAGACGACTTGTGTTGGCGTGCACTTGTAGGTTACAGCAGATCAAAGCATTTTTTAAGCAGCTTTTAATCATTACCCCGGCCTGTAGTGTGCGAGGGGCCGCTGTGAGTGGGTTGGCTTGGAATCCAGATGAGATTGTCACGCAAGACACCTGTACCTTTGGTGATGTAACAGTCACATGCGTGTATAGGATGCTAACATGAATGTTGATATGGAGCCACTGCCTTCAAGTGTAGCCTACCTGTTACAAAGAGAGGAAGTCCAAAGGTCATTGCAACTTCAGCTTCTGAACATAGAACCATAAAACACAGTATATATTAACTCCTCACCCCCATACACCATGTTATGCAACCTTGTGCAGTGAGTTATGTAAGTAAATACATTTATAATGATGCACAAGACATCTATTATAACATGTTGATAGTCTGGAAATGAGACAAAATATCTACAGCCACACAATCAGCCGTGTGATGCTTTTCTTAAACATAACGTTGTTTTGACCTAAAACATGCTAGAGTTTGCAGGTATATCATGTTCAGTTTAGCGTGTTAGCATGATAAATGAACTAATAAGCACTAAACACAAAGTGCAGCTGAGGCTGATGGGAATGTCATGATTAGTTTTGTGTCGTTTCATGTTCATTAACCAAAGTAATGGACAAAACTAAGAGAATATCTTAAACTTGAGAAAAATGTCTTTATACATATTGGATGACTGCTGTGGAATTTGGTTATGATTTCTTAACTTCTGTTAGATATATTTAATATATCTATATGCGCTTGTAAAGCACTTTAAAAATGCTTGTCCTGTGACTGTGAAAATATGAATGATAAAAACTAACGTGCATGGATTTTCTCTCCTAGTGTGGTTTCTGCTATTCTATACGGAGCCATGGCTCTCGGAGAGGCCAACTCCTTCGCTCCAAACTACGCTAAGGCCAAAGTCTCAGCTGCCCACCTCATGGCACTGATGGGCAGAGAGCCCGCCATCGATAATCTATCCCAGGCGGGAGAGTCACCGGTACATTTTAACACAAAGCCAAACCAAAAAAACAACACTCTTGTAATACCACTCTTTAGACAGATGCTAACATATCTCTCTTTTGTGTCATCTCTTTAAACCCCCAGGACACATTTGATGGTAATGTGCAATTTGACAGTGTTATGTTTAACTACCCGTCACGCCCTGATGTGCAAATTCTGCAAGGGCTGAATCTGAAGGTGAGGAAGGGAGAGACTCTGGCCTTGGTGGGGAGCAGTGGCTGTGGAAAGAGCACCACCATCCAGCTGCTGGAGAGGTTCTACGACCCCAGAGAGGGGAGAGTGGTAAGAAGACAAATAGACGTACATACTTTGTGCAACTGGGTTAACACCTTTATCTACTGCAACTTGTGTGTTTATGGCTACTTTACAGCACTCACATGATGAGTGGAAAATAAAAACTGGCTGAAGCTGGTGTAGCACGTGTGTTTTTATCTTTACTGCACAAGCCATTTCATTTTATCTTGATGGGATTAATTCCCGTTCATACTGACAGTCCTCTGAGAATGTGTATCATTTTATAACTAAATTCACATTTTTGTTGACGTTGAAAATGTTTACTACACTGAGAGAACCCTTTGCAAAACCTCTCTGTACCTGAGTATGATGATAATAAATATTCTTTTATTCTAAAAGGCACACAGACATACTTAGCAACTATTTGATGACCAAAGTGGAGTATTCAGCAACTATAGATCCAAATTATCTTGGGATTTCTTGGATACCAAAAAAAAATCAGCATGTTATAGACATCAATCTTTTTACAATAATGACTGCAAAATACTTTTCTCCTTCAGCTTCTGGACAATAAAAATGCACAAGAGCTAAACATCCATTGGTTGAGATCTCAGATAGGCATCGTGTCCCAGGAGCCCGTGCTGTTTGACTGCACGATAGCCGAAAACATCGCCTATGGAGACAACAGCCGCATTGCATCGCAGGCGGAAATAGAGGAAGCTGCCAAAGCGGCCAACATCCACAGCTTCATCGATAGCCTGCCACAGGTAACTGCTGAGGTTTCAGTGAGGAGATATGTCCAGACAAAGCCTGAAATTAAAGATGTGTCGTTTTGGTATGAGCAGTTTTATAACATCTCAAGGCCCTCTACTGGGCATTTGGGAAAATGTTTCTCTAGTGGTACTTGTTTGGGCTATAGTATACTGTATGTGACCAGGTTTAGAGATATGCCGTTTGTCAATACATCTGATTTCTTTCTGAACAATGACAGTTAATGGGATTTGTTTTTAGTGAATCTCACAGAATTTACATTACACCCATGTTTATTCAATTTAAACAAAATCAACAGAGAAATATGTTGTAAACTTATATAAAAGTTTCTCAAAATTAATAAATAATGGATCAATATTTCACTTTTAATCTTAATTTAAATAATAGCCTCAAACCTGTCTCTCTGTTGTTTTGGTATCAATTAAATTATTCTTTCTTGGAAATGACTCTACTGTAAGATAATGTTTAAGTATTTAAAATGGAAATATTTCTGCGAGGTGGCTTTTGTCTTTATTTAGCATGTATAACAATGCACCTCTCTCTCTGTGTTGAGCAGAAGTACAACACTCAGGCCGGTGATAAGGGAACGCAGCTGTCAGGTGGTCAGAAGCAGCGTGTAGCCATAGCCCGAGCTATCCTCCGCAACCCCAAAGTGCTGCTTCTGGACGAGGCCACCTCCGCACTCGACACTGAGAGTGAGAAGGTAAGCGTTACGGGCACCAAGACCAACGAGCAAGAAAATGGGGAGAACTAGCGTTTTACCAGAAAGGTCCTTTTAGATACAGTAGATTGTGCCTGGGAGATGGGCAGCAAAGAAACGTTTCATATACACAAAATGACAGAACACATCACAAAAAAAATTAACAAAAAAAACAATACAGGAATTGTACAGCAACAGTCTTAAGCTTAAAGTCGATTCATTAAATGTACTTAATCCACTGAGGAAATTAAGTGCAAGTTATTCAAAATGACAAACAATTGAATGTGCATTATCCCTCCACGACACAGGAAGTATTAATAATTCAAATCAATAGAGAAAGATGGAACAAACCACGCCTTTCTCCAAATGTTTTTCTATAAGTCCATGTGATCTCACTGTCATCATGCTGCTCTTCCAGGTGGTGCAGGAGGCGTTAGACGAGGCCAGTAAGGGCAGGACGTGCATCATTGTGGCCCACCGTCTGTCCACCATCCAAAACGCAGACCGCATCGCTGTCTTCAAGGGAGGAGTGGTGGTGGAAGAGGGGACACATCAACAGCTGCTGGCCAAAAAGGGATTCTACTTCATGCTGGTCACCACACAGATGGGACACGGGAGGGAATAGGAGGACATAGAGAGCAATACAACCCTGACGTGTCCAGAAATATTCATGTTTCCCTGTCCTGCTTTAGTAGAGCAATGAATGTGATCATCAGACAAGTCAAAAAGCCAAGTCAAACTCCTGTATTACCGTTCATTAGCTGTCACTTCTAAGGGCCTTTTTCACAGATATCATTTGATATGTGACAGTAGGAGATGTGCAGATGTTGATAAGATCACAGATACTTGTATTGTGCATGCTGGCTTACTGAATGTTATTAGTAACACCTGCTCTTCTACTATCACAAGTCAAAATGTCTGCTGTTTTTTCCCCGCCAGTTTGTGCCTTGAACACATTGACTCCAGTTTTCCTTTCTTTATAAAAGGTGGACCTATTTGATGCCAATACGCCTTAGCTGTTGATTTCTGGTGTCATCTTCTGTTAAGCGTTAAATACTACTGATGTACAGAGATTAAAGATAGCGACACACTGGATTTATTATGCATGATAGGATAAGTATGCACTAAGTACACATCTGACATCATTAAAAACTTTCTACAGTATATGTATTTGAGCACATTCTTTTATAATTACTTGATTTTCATGATGAAGAGTATCTTTTTGTTACAGTCAGTGTTAATAATGGAATAGAAGTGCCTAAAATAAAAAATATCGTACACACAGGGCTGTTCAGAGTTTAATTTTTTATTGTCACACTTTGGTTGCAATCACAAGGAATCCTATTGTTTCTACAAATGCAAGGAAGGACTAACCTTCTTGTAAAACTTGCCTTTATGTAACTATTAAAGTTTTGTATTCAGTAATTGAATCATCCACTTACTTTAACATCAGATTAGAGTTCGCAACATTTCCAAGATCAAATACATTTATCATTTTGAATAATAAAACAAAAGTATTAAAAATGTTAATTATTAAGCTAGTGTTCATTGTATGTTTAAATGAAGTACAATCTTATTCACATTTTTTCCAAAACCTTTGTCCACACAGACAGATTTGTTTTTAAATGCAGAGGAAATGAGTGGATGGAAATCACAGTTTTTTGGGCTCATTCACGTTTTACAGCAGCAATCCTAATATACATTCGTATTAACATTTAACAATCTCGAGCGTGACGTACAGATAAAGGAAAGCTGCATAGTGTGTAGGCTTTTTATGGTGCGGTGACCAAGCAAGTAAGGCAACCATAAGCAAACCAAAACTTTTCAACATCAATAGATCTGAAGGCCACTCTTAGTTCCCAAAAGTCAAACTGAAATTTGATGGTTTGATTAAAAAGTGGAAGCTAGCTAAATGGTACGTTACTTCCATCATAGCTTGGTAGTGTTATAATAATAATAATAATAATAATAATAATAATGGCTTTAATTTATAAAGCCGTGTTAGCCGTCTTTCCTACAGTATATAGGGTGAATGCAGCTAACAGCTTACCGATACCTGTGTTGTCCACTATAACTATCAACACTGTAATTCCTATCACGATTTTGATTGTAGGCAAACATNAAGTAAGGCAACCATAAGCAAACCAAAGACTTTTCAACATCAATAGATCTGAAGGCCACTCTTAGTTCCCAAAAGTCAAACTGAAATTTGATGGTTTGATTAAAAAGTGGAAGCTAGCTAAATGGTACGTTACTTCCATCATAGCTTGGTAGTGTTAGCCGTCTTTCCTACAGTATATAGGGTGAATGCAGCTAACAGCTTACCGATACCTGTGTTGTCCACTATAACTATCAACACTGTAATTCCTATCACGATTTTGATTGTAGGCAAACATAAAAACAAACAGTAAAACCATATTAACAGATTTCTTCTACAAAAATAATTTCAGTCCAACTTTTAAAGTTATGTGCTATTCTCTAGATTTGTACTAATCCATAACATAAAACAAATCAATTATTTTTAACTTATAAAGTTATTTTTAATGAGTTAAATCGGAATGCATAATTGCAAAAATAATTAAAGGACAACAACTAAAAGAAACAGAAGCTATTTTCTTCAATTGTCCATGGGTCACAGCGTCTGGTAAATATTTACCCCCTGAAGAACCAACACCATAAAAAGGTCTTGAGCCATAGCATTGGCTTATCTTAAAAAGGGATTAATACTGTCAGAATTTAAAATGAAACATTCTCCAAAAAATTTACACAAGAATCATAAAGATTTACACTAAAAATTATAAATCAGTACATGAACCAGAAAAGCTGATAAGATTTGATTTAATGCCCAAACCAGTGGCTATCAGCAGATCAGATTCAGTAACTTTGCATTGATCTGTGCTCTGAACAAACATGACTATCGCTAGCTGTCGGCTATTACCAGTGAACCATGAGGGCAATAAAGTGTTACTTATAGCTGAGATGTGGTGGCCAGGTGGAGCATCTCATGCATGGAGCTGGAGAAGTTGTTGAACAGAGTCGCAGCGTCTGTCTCACGGCAAGAGTTCCACGCCGAGACAGAGACCACGATCCTGGGGAGAAATAAGGCAGAGTGTGGGTATTATTGAAAATGCAGGGAGGCTACGCACAAATGTTCAACTTTTAAGGTAAAAACTGTATGTAAATAAACATATTCAGTTGAATGACAAAGATGCACATCATTAATATTTCTAAAACGTTTTTTCAATAACTAGGAAAAGCAGCTTATAATTTAGCAAATAATCTAATTAATAAAACTAATTAATCTTGTGTTTTAAAAGGTTGCTAAAACATTACAGTTGGAGCAGAACGATTTTCAGAAGAAAAAACTGCATTATGGAAACATGCGTATAAGCCTTAACCCACCTGTCGTCTCTGATGCGATAGAAAAAGCCGTAGCCGTGGTGCACCATGGGAGCCACGGCCCCCAGAACTGTGGTGTAGCCCACCAGGCTGGACGACAGCACGAAGTTACCACCTCCACCGCTGCAGACACAAACACAAGTCAGACAGAAGGAACTCCCCAACAATACTGCAGTTTTTCCTTATTAGGACATTGTCAATGTGCTTTTCTTGCTACGACTATGTAAAATATATGTTTAAAAAATAATGGAATTTGGAGATGGGCATAGTGGGTCATCTCACTCCGTAAATTAAAAGAATATGTTTTAAAAACAGCATAGACACACACAGACACAGCTTTACAGGTAGTACCTCAATGAGTAAAGGGGATCCATGAAGAGGTCTGGAGTGGGAAGTCCCTCCTCTCTGGCGATAAGATACAGCCCAAGAAGATGCCTATCAAAACCTGGAAACATTGTCAGAAAATGACAGATAAATATTTGAGACATAAGCGTCAGAAAACAACATGTGACCCTGATCATCCAAACATTAATACTCCAATTTATAAATAGGAGGAGATACCAAGACGCATTTTATCGTGACAGGAAAACTGAACAAACCTTGTCCATCCTGGGCTTCAACCATCAGGTTGTTGTGCGTATTGAAGGCTGCCAGCATGGCTTTCCTCCTGCTACCAGCCTAACAGAAAAATAAATGGATGTACCCTGTGAAATGAGCAAAAGCCTGATTTTGCCACAGTGCAGAGTTTCAGACGTGTACTTACATCACACGAGGGGTCCATCATGGCGTTACACCAGCTGACAGCCTCCTGGGTGCAGGGACGCATCGTCTCCGTCCGGCCGTGGTAGAACTTGCGAGTCATTGCGGTCTCATAACAACTGCCCGGCCTGTGAAGGTTAAGGAGAGAAATGAAGGGCCTTTCACTTCTTGGACATCAAACATCAGTAAACACATGGTACTATTTTTTGTATCATCTTGTACCTTTTGTGCATTCGCTGGAAGGCCAACTGCTTTGCTAGTTGTACAAAAGTGTCTGGGTGCAGCTTCTTCTGTTTGATGGCATCTTTTCCAAACGCTGTGAAGGCGTAACAGACAATCTGCAGGTCCTGTGCCTGAAAAACCACGACCCACACGGCTGTGACTAGGTGATTCTGCATCAGGCTTTTTCTACTACAGTTTGGTGTAATCCTGGCTCACCGTCTCCAGGTACTGCTGTTTGGCGTGGCGGATGTCACTCCGGACTTTTTCGTCCACAGTAAATATCAGCTCCTCAGGACGGTGCACGGCTCTGACTGCCTCTGATCCCTTCAAAAGCATAGACATCGTTATGTGGAGAGTTGACATATACATTTAAATCGAACCACCAAGAACTATTGAAATGGTTGTAAACAATAAAGTAATAGTCAATATTTACCTTCCATTTGCCTTCTGTAGCTTTGATTTGCTGGTCCATATACCAACACAAAGACACCAGCACCATGGCATCAAAAGGTGCATGCTGCAAAAAAACAATCAGTGTTATGAAATCTGTTTTTTTGTATCTTAATGATAATGAAATCTTTCACATACAGTATACATGTGTCATATAGTGCTTCTCAGATTTCCTTTAGCATGACACACGTATACAAACTCACATCACAAGTGGTTCCAAAAGTTCCATCTGCGAAGCTGAGTGAGTTGTACGATTTGTCGCCCCAGCGGATTGTGGGGTCGCCTGTAAGGGCCGCCCTGGTTATCTTTGTTCAGAATTTCAAAGTCACGCAATCAGAAACAACTCATTCCTTGAAAAGATATATATGAATTCTAGTGAACAATAGGTCATACAAAGTAAAACATATACTTTGTGATGCTCTTACATTTGTGTAGTTCACTGGAGAGGAGTAGGGTTTTGTTTCATCCAGAGATAAGACGAACAGGCTGCTCTGGATGGTCTCCAGGATGTTGCTATTGTGTGGATCGATGCTTATTAGATGCTCCCTGGTCTGCAGAGAAAGATAAATACTGACAGTACTGACTCAACAATGCTTTTGTAATATAAGAACTGTTTTAGATATCATTAACAAAGATGGACACCTAAATGTTGAAATGTGAACACCCATACCTGCGCCCAGCGAGTCCTCTCTTCTGAGGTGAGGGCCGACACTCCGTCTCCCTCTGGCTCCCCCTCACAGCACTCTTTCACATAGCTCAGCTGCCTGTACATCAAATAAAACAAGGCAACATTGAGCCCTCTATGCTTCTCAATCACCTAATAGAGGCTCATAGTTTTATAAAATACCTTTTTAATACCACACAGAATGCAATTTTAAACAAATAAAGCGTCATTAAATGTATTTTTGAATCCAATTATTTCAGTACTTCCCAGGAGTATATAGCATTAACCTTTCACAGCTAATTATGAATTATATGTTTATGGATTTTGATCAATGATATGATCAACTTGGAACCCGATAAGCAAGTTCTTGCTGGAATTAACACTGGTTTCCCTGTTAACACAATGAACACACGTTTCCCTGTTGCTTCTGTAATACAATTATTTAAAATTCCTGCTGCTCTGGGGCACAGCAAAAACTGTTATTCTTTCATATATATTTCTCACTAGGACAGTTAAGATTCTGACTAATGGTGAAAATGTATCCTCACATCTCTAAAAATAGAATAAAATGAATTCAAACTCAGTGGTAGGATGTGTACTGTTCCTCCATGTTTTAGTACATTTAGCACTATCAGCAGCAGTTTGTTCATGGACGGACCTTTCAACCCTCCGTTTTTCTGTTGAATGTTGTTTGTACTTGTGTGTATATCACTACCTGAGTATTTCTGGAGGAGTGAGGATTTGTCCATCACAAACTGCATCAAATGTGAACATCCGTCCACGACACATCACCACCACATGGGAAGGGCACGGCCCCTCACTCTCTGTGGCAAGGAAAAAAACGCACAAAAACAACGGTTATAATAAAAAGCTGAGAAATTGTGCTAAAGCTATCGGAGGTGTGTCTGAAGGCTCTAGATAAGATAAGATTATTTCTACCTGTCTTGAAGTAGTTACGGATGGTGTCCTTCTTCACTCCAGGTACTTTGCAGGTGCAGAACAGCATTCTGAACTGGTCCATATCTAACGGTAGTTTGCCGGCTTTCTGAGGACGCAGCCTCTCTCTAAAAGGAAAACAAAACAACACATTTCATAAATACCCCATTTCATATCAAAAAGACCAGCTTTTGATTAACAAAACACAAAAACACAGCTTGTAAAAATGTGTTTGAGCAAGTCTTACGTGCGGATCAGGTTCCAGTACTGTAGTGTGTGCCATGTGCTAATACTAGCCCTCTGCAGCTGAGATCCCTCTTCGGGGAGCCAGCAGTGCTCCAGGTAGGGCCCCGGGCCGGCAAAGTTCACATTCAGCTGAGATGGGATGCGAACCTCCAGATACGCAACATCTAACCACCATTCTTCCAGCTGAGGAATGTTATTTTTGTTTAAAAAACATATAAGTAAGGATGAGTAAAACATCTAAGACTGTAGCACCCAAAAAATAAATGACAGATTCATTACACACCCAATTCCTGTTTGTTCTGGCTTTCTGCAGTAGCTTTTGGTGCAGCTCTTGGCCAACACCCTCTTGAAATGTATTCACAATGTCCAACGTAGCCTTAAACTCTTTCTCAGATGCAAATGGACGAACTGATGGCAATACAAAATAATTGTGAACATTAGGCATTTTTTATTGTAAAAACTGAAGATTTCATGAGCTTGCGTACATTTTACAAAATGAGAACATATGCAACAATCATACACGCAAGCTAAAACATTTGTTATAATATTAAGAGTTTGACATGATTAAAACACCTCAAAGTTGCACATTTTCTTTTCAAATAGTGAGTAAATTCTGAAACAGAGGAACTTGTGACACAGCAGGTTGTTCAAAGTTACTATCCTACCTGCATTCAGGTACTTTGAGAGGCTGGTCTCCAGTGATGGGACCGGCAGGGATGGCAGGGCGTCTTGGTGCTGGAAGGTCGTCTCTGGGGGGGCCTTTGACAAAAGATTATCCATTTCTTCTCCCGGGAAGGAATTAAGAATGGATCAACAAAACAAACATCTGTAATAGTTGTGTCCTACATCAGAGGTTTCAGATTATCTACAACATAACTTTAGATCTGAAAACTGCACGTCCAGTTTATATGACTATAAGATAACGTTTAAGTTGTACAATATGCCTGTAATTCAAATGTGCAGCTTTATAATTTTTCTGTAGAATTGTTTGCAGGGTTTCATTCATATTACACATTGGTTAACTGGTAATTAAATAAATATAATCTGTGCAACATTGTGAAGAATATATAAGGTTAGACCAGGGGTGTCCAAACTGCGGTCCGTGGGCCATTATGAATCGGCCCTCAGTTAATTCTGAAAGTATGGCCCACAAATTAAACTTGTGCTTGTCTTATATTGTACTTCGTAAATATATATGTTAACATACATTACACAGTATTCATGTGTCAACAAGCCCACTTTTAAAATGAATTCAATCAATTACATTTGAAAACATTTTCTAACAAATCTAACTTGATAAGAAAAAAGCCCAATAACTTCTTTGTATAACAAGCGTGAAATATACCCTTCATATTTCCCCTAATTATTAGCAATCTGAGGCTCCTGTTTTAAGGAATGAGCTGCTAACAAAATAAATGAAACCCTATGGAGAGCTGGGGTTGGCTGTAGGCTGTTTTTTCTTAAAGCATATTCAAGTAACAAGCATAATTGACCTACATTTGATTGATTTTGCTGATTTATAACTGAATTTATGAGGCAATAAACCTCACCTCTGTAGAATGATCGAGTATGCATTGTATGCATATGTGACAAACTCTAGTAAGTGTCCCAGCCCTTCTTATATTTTTCTGTATGTGGCCCTCGGTGAAAAACGTGTGGACACCCCTGGGTTAGATAGTGTTCTAATAAACGGTTTGCCTGTTCTATCATCTATCATCATGTGATTGTTATAATTTATAATTTCATCTGCCCATACGCATGCAATACTGTATGACCACTCGATGTTTCTGTTGTTATTGCACCAGCTGTAAAGATGTCTAATTATCACATAATCACAATACTTTGTCCATTACCATTGTGTTGTCTGATAACAAACACCGTTAGCTATTTCAGCATCAAGAAAAGTACTTTTCACTTTGCAGCCAAACATGGACTTAACTTAAGTATCAAACCAACTACTTTAATCGAACTTTTAGAGTGGACTTTGCACCCTAACTCAATAAATTATTAACGTATAGTTGGTGCAACAGGCTGCTTTGCACAACATAAACAAAAGCTTTGAATTTAATTGTTACTGATAAACATTCACATGCTTTTTATCTGTTATCCCACAGTTCCAAAGTGCTTTAACGCGTTGCTGAGCTGTGTTGCTACATGAAACTACGTTAATTTATAATCCTCCTTCAAAACCACGAGACTCAAGAAAAGTTGAGTTACTTAGCTTTCAGAGCCCTAGGTAATGGAAACACGGACTGCTAAACCGCTTGTTGAAAGCAGTCAGTTTGGGAGTTTTTACTTGTTTATTCATGCAACAGACCTAACTGTTTCGAGTGAGCAAGCAAACGATTATAGTCACATCGCATTAGCTACTCTCGCCTGCGGATATTGTCAACAACAATAGACATGTTGTCAGGGGTAAACTTGATTTAACGACACTGTTCCTAGCTTTCCAACATAATGCATATTTTAGCTCACCTTCTTCAGGATGAGTCGACTTTGCTTACAGTATCAATGCACAGTAGAAATATCTGTAGTCAGTGTGTTTATGTCCGCAGCAGCAGCAGCAGCAGCGGTCCTGTTACCTTTACCCCACTAAACCCATCCGGAAGATCTCACTGCGCATGCGCGAGATGGTGGCACTTGACCTAGATTTAATCAGTGAAACAATGATGAGGCACTGATAGTGAGCTGTTATACTGCACAGAGGTGACAGGGCTTTGATTTAATGAATGAAATCCAATTCTTGCAGTTAGTCTTTATATATGTGCGGTATAGATAATGTATAGACAGACATAGTTTCAGTAATTAAGAATAAATAAATAAAAGAGATATTTTAACCCCTATTTCCAAGCTCAATGTGAACAAGAAGATTTACATTTCATGTGACCTCAAATTGCTAGCACTGTATTAAAGTGTAACCAGAGAGCAGTGGTAACTGGGCATTTTCTGAAGTAGATATTTATAATTTAACCCAATACAAGATGCAATGGTGATTGAAACATGTATCACCTGTGATGGAGCAGAGCACTGTCAAGAGGGGAGAAGCATGCATATACAATATTAGCATACTCAAGCTACAGATTGTACAATGGTCTTTCAACTAACAGAAGAGAGACATTGCCAATTTGATCATATTTTCACTTTTAGTATGCGTTTCACATTGATCTGAAAAGTGAGACTGGTATCTGTTTTGCTTGCTTTAATCATTCCTCTTCATAATACCTAATTACATTACTTACTTAAGTGCTTCCAATGTACAGTAAGTTGAACAAAATCTACAGTCGTTGTTCTGTTGCTAAAATACTCTCAGTTGGCAGACTATTCCGTGCAGCAAGCCAAAACTAAAACAGTCCTGCTATAAATCATATCTTGATGAAGGTCAGAAATGTGTTGGTTTAAATGTGTGTTCCTTTTGGAGGATGTCGTTTTTGTTTCTGTTGAATTTGTATTCAGTAAGGTGTTAGGGGTTAGGGGTTTCTATAATTGTGACCCCCTTCGTTATATCAATGAGGGTAGGCTGAATAACAACAACAAAAGACAAACCATAAACAGTGCTCAAATACGTTTTATTTTGACATTTCACAGCATTGAGTTTATCCTGGAGGGATGAAGAATCAAGCTACATTTAAAAGTGAATGTGTTTTGCTGGTAACACGTGGTGACAAGTTTAAACTACATCTACTAAGTTAGTAAAAACAGAAATGAGCAAATGTAATATTTCTAACTTTACAGGATGCATGGAAGTTGTTCAATTAGTAATCCATTGCAAAAAATTTAAAAAACATGAAATACAGCAAATTTCAAATTACCCTTGTTCCTGCATAATTGTAGACTCTGAAAACAGAAGGCTACGTGCTATTAGGAATATCTGCATTGCAGTTATTGCGTTAGTAGGCTGTCCTCTTTTTGGGTTAATCATGCCTCTTCTGTTCATTTCAAGCTTTACAAGCCATATTTGCTGACGACTTCCGTTGCAAGTGCAATGTAGGCCGACATGGCATCCTCCTTGGACTTTTCTGAAAGATATTTGGATTAAAACACAACATTTTAATATGATTCATGATTCAAGTTTCAAAGGTTTATCGTCATAACATATAAAACTATGGTGTAGTTATTTCATGTATGAAAAACAGGTTCCTCAACAGTGCAATTACAAGACATAGAAAAAATCATATAAACTAATGTTGCTTGTTTTCTAGCCAGCTTTACAAGTAATTCTTTATAAGTTACCTTTCCTAGAGTTCCAGGCATCCCACTTTGCTTTTCCTTTGAAGTCCAGCATTCCTGGTCTTTCTGCAATTGTGACATGAAACACAGGGAGTAAGGAAATGTTCAGAAATTCTGGAACATTGCATGGAAGTTATTCTGAATCGGAAGTCATACCGGTGTTAACATCTCCAACTGTTGCCTGCTTATAAAGGCCATAGAGGTCCAGCAGCTCCTGGTCTGTAGGCCTCGTCTTCACCTTCTTCACATCCTCTGCCAATTTCTCAAACTCTGTCTGCAGATAACAAATGTTCCCATAGCCACTCATTATATTACTGTTATCTTATTCAATGCTAAGCTATCATTTCAGCACAGGGTAAGCACTGATATAAAACACTTATCTTCTTTGTCAAGTCCGACAGATGAATCAGTTTAAGGAATGTGCATATTAATAAGTTACAAACAACACTGATTAAAAATCTGAGCATAGTGTTGTAGTCATGGTGCACAGCCTGGGAGACCTTTTGTTTCACAAGTTTGAGTTAAACAATAGGCTTTTTATTCAACACTCTAGTGCTTTGTGCCTACTTGAATAATCTCCTTTACAAAAGATCTAGCACATTGCATAACAGATCATTAAAGATAGGAAACGTGAACACCATGAACTCTAAATATTAACCTCCAAACCTTTAATAGGAGTCGAAATGGTCATTAAAAGTGAAATGTTTTCCATCTACTAAATGTAATAGAGCCAACTCCTTTCTATAATTACTTATTTAAAATACTGTTTATTTGGCTCGTTGTTTAAGCAATCTGCTTGCACTAAGAACCAGAGAATACATATGTTAAGACTCATTTGTATTACATTAACTCATCCCACACCGACAAAGATGGTTGACACACACGAGTATGACTGGAAGGAAGTGAACACACCCTGTCGCTACAACCGCTCTTTATTTAAATGCGATAAAGCGTCTACGAAACACTGCCGCATACAATGGAAGAGGATTTTTTTTACCTGAGAAGACATTTTTGCAGATGCAGTACCGAGGTCCAGATGAATTTATGTCTACAGCTGTCGGCTGGAATGGACGTCTCTGCGCAGCTGTGAATGCCACAGACTGTATATGCAATATATGGGCCAAGGACCGTCCTGCGGAGGAGGGAGTAGAGAGAAGCCGAGCAGCTGATTGGCTCAGGATACACACACACAGGGACGTGCACAGACATTTGGGGGGGCTATTGCTCTAAACTGGAAAAACCCCCCCCCCAAAAACAACATAAGACCTTTTGAAAATTTAAACTTGTTTTTAATGTAAAAGAAACCAAACGATTTTTACAATAACTAATTTGAAGAGTAATTCACAATATCATTTCATAACAAAATAAGCTAAGGCGACTACTTGCATTCGGTAGTTCATAAAAGGTGCATATCCCATTAAAATATCTAATGTTACTAACTATTAAAGAGAAAATGGGGACAATTCTGTTTTAATGTTTGACCACTGTAACTGCTGTGCAGACATACTGATAAAATAGGGCTTCTAACTAATTACCTTAAATAAACTCACTAATTAATTAAACCAGTTCAATACGCATTATTCTTATTCTTATCATTCTGAGCGCAGTAACGGTACGGTATCTAATTACTTATTTATTTAGTATTCCATAACTTCATAAAAGAGATGGTCAAACTGAAGTAGAGACATGGCAGAAATCCTACAATGAAGCGGGACAGTGAAGTGTTCTCCGTGAGAGGGCGATCAAGAGAAGAGAGAGAGGGTGAGGGAGTTTACAGATGAAAAGACACAGAAAGACAGAAGCACAATAACAAGTATATTTAGCCTAGGTGTTTTTTTGTAAATAACAGACGGTGTCAAGAGGAAGATAAGTCCCCTGGTTTGTCGCCTATACTCTAACTGCCATGAGAAAACTCCAAATACATTTTCCAAAATCCGACACTAGAGGTGGTCTTTAACGCACCGGCAGATGACAGCGCTGACAAGGTGTGCCACAACAGAAAGAAAATAAAAATAACCTCTCGCTCTCTCTAGAGGAGCAGGTCAGGGCAACAGGCCGTTTCCCGGGCAATCAATTCCCGTACCTGTGCACGTCCCTGCACGCACGCAGGCACAGGCACAGGCACACACACATACACTCATTCATTTGCGTGCACAATACATGTCGCACTTTCACTCGAACGCTGGTCGGCGCTGTTTGTCTTGTCCCTTTGTTAATAAAGTTATTTCAATTCAAACAAAATGGCAGCGCCCTATGATCAACCACCCGTGTAGTTGGACTGAACCGAATATCAGTATAAAAAAAGTAACGTGCTGGATTAAAATTCAGGTAAAGTAACTTAACGTCTCTTTTGTTTGTCAGGCATGTTGTCGACTGTCATATTGTTAATGCTTTAATAATAACAGTAGCCGGTAAAACTTAAGAGAAATGATTTCTTAACTCTTGTTAAAATATTACATTGCACCATCAATAATCACAACTGAAACAATGCCATATTATTTAAAGGCAACATTATTATAATATTTGTATTGTTTATTATTATTGTTTGTACATATGTTTGATAAGAATCCCTAAAAGATGGGCAGTAAAGATTTGTAACGAGGAAATTGTCAGTTGTTGTTGTTGTTGTAGGGACTTGTTATCATTACCATTCATACTTCGATTTACTGCTTTTTATTGATATTACAGTTTATTTGTATTTAATGTTGTGTTCCTGTCAGTATTACAAACCAATTGCTATAAAAATAAAGATGATCATTTTTGGATTTGGTTAATTTATATTTGAAAACAAACTTATGGGTGCTCTCTGAAGGAAACACTATAAAGGAGAAACTCTAAATATCTTTGGCATGTCTGGGATTTCTTATTACTGATATTGACGGGGTCTACCTGTAAAAGGGTTTCTTCATCACTTTTTTCTTGTCTTTATTTCAGAGGTATGGCTGCTGCAGGTAAACCATCAAAAAAAGAAAGCAAGAAGTACATTCCGACCAAGACCTCCTTCACTTCACCATTCATTCCAAAATGGGGCCCACTCCCCCAAGAAGACATGCATTTTATCCTGAACACAGTGAAGGACAAGCTGGTTTCCATGGGCCTTGAGAAGAAAGAGGTGAAAGTGTTTCGCCCGTGGAGGAAAAAAAAAGACCCGAAACCTGCTGCCACACCAGAGCCTGTTCCCCAGGTCAGTGAGGTGCAGGTGAAGGATGCTCCTAAAAACGGCTGGACAGATGTGGCAGCTAGGAGACAACTGGCCATCGGGGTCAACGAGGTCACCAAAGCTCTAGAGAGGAACGAGCTCAGACTGTTGCTTGTTTGTAAGTCCGTGAAGCCGAAACACATGACGGACCACCTGATCTCGCT